GAGAGAGAGAGAGAGAGAGGAAAGGGTGGAGAGACAATGTATCTTGAATGAACTTCATTGCTTTATCCCCAATCTCTCTCTGTCCCTCCTCCTCTTCTCCCTCTCCCACTCCACTTCAAACTATTACCTTCTATTACATCTCGTCTACTTATTTCGTTCTTCCTGCGTTATAAACTGCAAGAGGTACAACCCGTGTCATTGTACCGGAGTGACCCTGGCTAATTAACTTTCTTGCCCCGGAGAACAGGAGAAGGGGGAGCGGGCGGGTTAGGATCGAGCAGGGGTAGGGGCAGAAGAAAAGAACAAGATAATGGAAGGAAGGTAACATATACATGGTGAACAAAGACGGGGGAGAAGCACGTACGAGATGCCTACAGGGGGGCACCGTCAGTCACCCAGGCAGAGGTAAAGCCAGAGCGGAAGGTGGGTACGGGGTGAGGTACGCAGTTTCAAAGAGGAATGAAGTTGAGAGAGGCTGTGCGAAGAAAAGAAAAAAGATCAAGGAGAGATACAATAGCTGAATACAAAATAGAAGAGGGTATCTGCACTAATCACAAGAAAATGGGCAATTAAATTCCAAAGAAACTGTCCTAGAACATGCTAGATAATAGGGAAGATGAGCAAAAAAAGCAATTAAATGGGGTAAAAAAATATCGGGTGACGAGAAGAGGCGAACGAGCTGGCAAGAAGAAAAAAAAGAGCATCAAGAAATCAACTGAAGAGATTATGCCCTAGTCTCAACCGGGACATGTTTTACACGACAAAGAAAATTGCAACATTGTTCCGAGATGGATAGAAGATGATAACAGAGAGCAAGACACACAGGTGGAGTGAGGTCAACGGTCTAGATCCCGACTCACATTGCTCTTCCTAGATGACAGGGGTGTTCTTTATGGAGCAAAATTACTCCAGCGATTATTCACCTTTTTCACTTAAAGCCCGATGCACAGTGCACGCCTGCAGAATCACTCATTGACGGGGAGCCCCTGATGATTTTCTTCTTCTTTTCTTTTTTTTAAAACCATCCTCGCTCCTCTCGTACCTAATGAAATCAAGCGGGAGCCCAGCAGACACAAACAGCATTTGGCTTATCATCCAGAGCTAGCACATTCTCCGGATCGGGGCTGATGAGTTAAAAGCAAGAGCAGTTCCACACGCAAACCCTCTGAATTACAACGCCAGAATGGCTGCCATACCGGAGAGTTATGGCTGATTTCAAAGGCCTCTTAACAGGGGGTTATGACATCATGACATCTCGTATCAGGTCAACACCAAGTATGTTGGCCTCTTATTTATTCTTAGCGCCTTACTGTTAGCAACATATTAGATCACAGGACAGTGCTTTACTTGTACAGTGTACAGGATCTAAGAAACTATTTCCTACATCATCTTTTTCCTAATCTTTCAATTTAATCTTTTCTTGAAGGAAAACAAATGTATCACAAAGACAAGAATGTAGTGTCTAAAAAAAACGCTGAAAGTCTGAGTTTGCCAATTTCGCACTAAAACATTTTTCTTACAGAATTGACATATGCTTTCAACATAAGTGTCAGCAAACTTGCACTTTAATAGCTGGTTTCATGAGACATTTCCCTAATTGACGGACCTTTATGACTTAATTTCTTTATATGAGGAGGAGGAGAAGAGAGAGAGAGAGAGAGAGAGAGTGGGTGATCTCTTGAACTATCCACCACAATGAGGCCTGCAATCTAGAGTTGCCATCAAAATGACATCAGGGTCGTGACCCCTCTACACTTTCAGCATAAAGTAACACCTCATCCTACCAAAGATGGTCCTTCTAGATACAGTTGCACTTTTGGCAAAAGATATGAGCCATCTGGATTATTCACCATCTTTCAATGGACAAATGTACATTGAAGCTATTCATCAATGCCATCTATGTCATCAAAAATTCACTAAAACAGCAGATGTGGTGAGGTCTTTTTGTTACTTGGGCACAATGCAAAGTCCATCAGCCATGGGTTTGACCAAGTACTTGCTTCTGTTCTAAGGCCACTGGTCACTCATGGTCAGTGACTGAAGCACAAAGGGAGCATGTGGTCAGTTGGTCCGATCACCTGGACATGCATAGCCCGAGATGACCTGGGGGGCCAACGCATGAGGTCATTTCAGGACACAGGGGTTGAACAGACTTTGAATGTCCAGCTAATGGTCAACCAGAAAGCTGGGTATTCAGCAAGGATGACCACAGCATCTCTGTAAATTATCCGGCTTGTAGGAAAGCTGCAATAAAATAACCTGGCTCCATTTAGCTAATGGGATTCATTTTAAGAAAAAGCAAATTACCTACATATGACCACGTATAAAACATTACAAGACATAACAAAAGCTTATCAAAGAAGGAATATCACAAGCAAATAATACACAGTTCAGTGTGATTTGATTATCATTATTTACAACCACAGACCCCAAGAACGCCAAAAAAATACATGTAGCTCCCAAACTGTTCCTTCTCAGATCAAGAAAATAGCCTTCCAAAAAAAATACTTTGAAGACTGTTAATAAACTATTAATAATATAGGGCGATAACACCTGAATCAAACTCTATACATTATATGTACATTATGTTCCATAATAACACCTGTCTCCAAAGTATAATCTCCACCAAGCTTTATAATCTTGGCATTGACAGGCACAAAACAATATTCAATGCTCAAACAAGTTTGTCAACAATGAGGTTTGCTTTCGTGTCCGAACTCAATAAGGGGAAACCCCCTCGTGATTTTCCCCGACATGTGGCAGTCAACATTACGTCTTTCATTGTTTCCATAACACCTTTTGATGCACTGTGGGGCACCTGTAAATAAGTAACGCCATGATTCCGAGAAGACCTAATCAGTCAGCCCGGATATGAAGAAGAAGAATGCCCCGCTTTTCTTTATTTAAAAAATAGAGCAAAACGCGAACAAATAGAATGGTTAGTGGTTACTATTAAGCAGGTTGACAAAGGGAATAGATTTCTGACAGTATATATTACAAAATAATCTGAGGAATAGACAACTTTACAAAAATGACATAGCAATTTCTCGAGTAGAGGGACTCTGACCCTATGCTGATCCCACCTTAGCCCTTTGAACTTAGAAGTTCTTAAACAACACTTTTATGTAACTCCCTTACCCCTCCCCTCCCCAACACATCATATAACAAACCGGATCGAAACCCGCCCAAGACAAACACCTACAGACATATCCCCCCAAAAGTAGGTATCAGTCACATAACACACCCAAAGACTGTATGTATACAGTAGCATGTACATGTACAGTTATTACTACAACACAATATCAAAGTCCATGTAGATAGCTGTCTGGTATCCTTTATTTACTTAGTGTCTAGCCTGTTGGCATTCTCTGGACAAGAGAGGGGGCTATACCGATTGGACACTGCAGACTGAAAGAGCAAGCAGGTTCTCGTCTGTTGCACTGCTCATAGAAATCATTTCCATCTCACTTTGGCAGGGCCCTGTCAGTTTTGTTCCAGTCACTGGATTTCTATAAAAACATGTTTTTTTTTTCTTTTCTAAATGCATCTAGGAAATATTGAGACTTTCAATTCTTTTAAATGATTTTTTTTTAATGAACTGCACTCCTAGTCCCAGATGTACAGGTACCCACCCTCCCCCAGTGACCAAAGTACGATGTACCTACACATATCTTTTAAGGGAAATACCGAGATTTGTCATCCATGTAATTTCAATGAAACGGGCAATCGACCTAATTCCTTCGCTTTGATCAATGTTTGCTGAATAATAATAATAATAATAATAATAATAATAATAATATTTAATTTTCATATAGCGCTTAATACAAATGTCTCTAAGCGCTTTACAAATATACTATTACCCCGGTCATTGTATTTAGTGCTTGCCCGCACACACTATGTGCACAATCTCCACTCCCTGGGGAGCATTCCAGCCGGGCGTTACTTGTTGAAATACATCAGATTGCCTGTTGAGAGCCAGAAGGGCATTTACACTGTGTCATCTGCCCTTCTGGCGCTATTGGACAAGATGAGCAATGCCCCCCCCCTAAAAAAACCCCATTCATTTTAAGGAATTAATCCTCATTACCAGGTTCCTCAGAGAGGACCTAAAGCCGTCGGCCGTCTGGTTGCTTACTTAAAAGCATTTATGCTTTCTTAGCAGTCAGGTAAAATAACCACCACCACCATATGACATTTTACATTCATGCTAATTTCACATTATCCATGTAATCTAATCCTGATTGATTCCCGATCTTGAATGCAATATGGCGGGTGGTAAAGCAATCCTCCCGTGACCGTTTGTTTTGTAATCCATACCCATCGATAAAAATCTCAGACTTCCACGAGACAAACGTATGTCTCGTACCTCGGATGCATCGCGTGAAGACAGACAGACAGACGTGACGCAGGGAAACAAACAGTATCAGAGGAAAATCTGTTGTTGTGAAATGATTACTGGTAGATCCATATCCCCGGCGGCAATTCAAGAAACTACCCACGTAGAAGATACCTAGTATTGCCGTAATGCTGCTTCGAACATGATTATTATGGATCGTATTTCCACTTGAGAAATGCCTAATCCTCAAATTTAGCTTGGAAGATTAATGTGTATAAATAGAAAATGCTGCAATTTCATCAAAACAGCTAGATGGAGTAGTAGGTTTTATAGACAAGAGTCACCGAACATTCCCAAATTGCGTCTTCAGATGTTTACTATGTGAAAATTCAAAGCAGCTAATTCAGGAATCAGACATTTTTCAAATGAAAATAAGCTTTAAAATCCTTCAATTTGCGACACGTTGACAGGTTCAAAATCATTGTTTTTTAATCCAAATTGTCCAAGATTTGAACCTTTCAACAAAGTTCATACTCATGTGGGTTGCTTTCAAAGGCATTGCATTTTATCAAAATAATGTAGCACTGAAAGGAAAATATTGTAGCCAATTTGAAGTACAGCATGTGATCAAATTTTAAAGGATTTAAAGGATTTAAAAACTCACCATCTGGCACCTCCAAATGACTGTTCTGTGACTCGTTCTGAGGTTGCAACGTGAAAGAAGCATTCATTGACTCGCTGAGCTTTTGCACCAAAGGGCATGCTATACAAGAAGATGGACCTGCAAAGTGTCAGAAGAAAAATAAAACGAAAAACAGTTATGATACCACGATCTAGGTTCAAAAGCAGAACAAGATTGCATAGACTTTCAAGAAATCAACTGGAGGGGCAATTTCAATACTCTATTTGTATATCTCATAGAAATCATGTTTCGGGTGACGTAATTGTAGTTTTGCCATTGTAGTTTTGTCACGTTCAAAAGGTGATGGAAAAGGCAGTTAATTTATTGAAAGTCTTCGCAATCACGTTTGCAGATGTAGAGAAATGGAAAAGCGTGATCATGTTCGTCGGATGGTGGTTCGATTCCTGCTCCGACAAAAATTGCTCCACCGTAATTTTGTACACTATAACCGATTTCCTAACTGTTTGGTCCAGTATTGAACTTAACAATGTTCAGTTTCAGAAGCTGACGGCGGAGCAATTGTCGCTTGAGTATACAATCTAGATAAAAGACATAACGTTTTTTCTCCTACTGATAGCCTTCGACAACATCTAGGCCATCTCGTCCATCCCCAATGCCATAAAATCAAAGTATACCTGTCAGACAAATAGGCCTTTTGAGGATATATGCTCTAGATAGCGATGGTCTTGGGTCATTTAAATTCATGAACTTGGAGGGACATCTAATGGGGTATGTTTAGACTAGAAAGTGAGGGAGGGAGGGAGGGAGGGAGAGAGAGGGAGGGAGGGAGGGAGGGAGGGAGGGAGAGAGGGAGAGAGAAAGAGAGAAGATTAGGAATGTCCCTTCACTGGCTTGACATTCGATGTTTCTTCTTTCTTTTGCTCTCTCAAGAATTTGTATCCGTCTTTCTCACTATGCTCCTTTTTTTTTGCAACAATAATAAGATGTTTACTGAGAAAATATTCACACAGCAATTAAAATCATAGAGCAAGATGGCAAATATTGAAATAGATGTGATTTATTTAATCAGCACATACCAGCTTCGCATTTGCAACACTTGACACATACACCTCTGTACCCACCGAACAATAAAGATTCTACCCCGAATCTTCAAACAGAACACCTTCTACTTTAAATTACGTGTCCTTGTCTTAATAATCGATCCCTACAGGTGCCTCCTGGCGACCAATGTATACACATATAGGCCTACATGCTGCCGACGGGTGATTCGTCAACCGAACTATTCAGCAGCAGCGATAGCGGCTTGGGTCTACCCCAGGCTGCCCTCTTTATCAAGCACACAGAACACACACCAGTCCCATGTATCATGGCACTGCCACAGGAAATTTCCATGGATTTTAATAACTTTGCTTTCCATCAAGCTACATCTTGTCTAGACAGGCTACGCATAATCACCAATTTTTCCCCTCCAATACCGGTTAGTCTTCGTGGAGCAAACCCCCCCCCCCCCCCTCTCTCTCGCTCATTTCACTCGGCTCGCGCTACTGCACTTAGTCAATGAGTCTACGTGAAGATGTGCTTGGGATGATATTACTAGGGACTTTTAGATTTGCACGTCGACATACATGTAGTGGACTGATACGTGTGACGTCCTTTAAAGGCATTATAAAGACGTCACATTGTCTACTATGTCGACGTGCAAATTTAAAAGTCCTTTTTGATGGAAAGGGGGAGGGGGTTCAGTCCTCGTTGGAGATCCATGTGATGACTGAAAAAAGAGTTACTGAGTATATCTCATACAAACACAAGAGATTTATTTTTTTAGAGTGAATGCTGCATCTTATTTGATCAGTAACGTCCAGTGGGAAATATTGATAGAATTTTTACATGCGTAATACATTTGACGAATCCAAGTCCTGACTGATTTTAGAAATAAGTAAATAATGAGTAAATTAACCATTTCAGAGGTTGCTTCTCTCCTAATTACATTTCCAATCATACAAATCTTGATAATCAAGACAGGCGATCGGCTTGTAAAAGTCATGGAGTTCCTGACTGACCTAAAGGTTTATAATTATGATTGTAGCATGAGCCAAATCCAGGATTTTGTTTCAGAATCTGAGACAAAGTTACCGGATCCCTTTAAGTGGGGTTGTTTGCATGCAAGCGAGCATCTCAGTAAAGAAACCCTTAAACCACAATACAGAAATTATTTTAACTGCAGAAGAAACCTTTCGATACTTCTCAACGCCATCCGACGAAACATAGAGGAAGCTCAAATCATTCCAAAGTGGGGATGTTAAGCTTGTCTAGTCTGCTTTAAATAGAGGCATATGCAAGAAGGAACGGGGGAGGGGGCAGGTGGGGGTTTTATATATACTTCCTTCCCCTACTTACGACGAGACAATACAAGAGATATCCGTGCTCGTCATGCTCTTGAAATCTTGTATCTACAAACACTGTTACCCTGCATTAAAAATAGCAAAATGTCTGCAGACAGCTATCGCTCGCTAGCTCCCTAGGCCTGTAAATTTTATCAATGTATCCAGGGACCAAATAAATGAACGTAGAACATAAAATCGTCTCTTCTTCAGCTATACAACTCTGATGAGATACACACAGAATTGTACACACAAATATTAGGCTTATCCTCTCCCCTAGTACATGAACACTCTTGTTGCTGTTTTCTTTCTCTGTCTGTTTCTCTCTGTGTCTTTCTGTGGCTCTCCTTCATTCACTTTTTCCTGAAGTCTACACCATTATAGTTTAATCTGTACATCAATTTATTTATCTGTCTGTGTTTACTGGCTGCCTATCCCCCCCCCTTTTTCCCCCTCCCCCTCCCTCTCTCTCTCTCTCTCTCTCTCTCTCTCTCTCTCTCTCTCTCTCTCTCTCTCTCTCCCTCTCTATCTCTCTCCAAGTACAAAAATGAAAAATACCATTAGAGGGCTGCTTGTCACAGTTGTCTCACTGAACACACAACAATTTACCATTTACACTCAAGACGTGATTCATTCGGAAAAGGAATAAAATTGTGATCATGAGCGAAGTGATCTTTCCCCATTAATATAATAAATCATGGAAATCCCACTTCTACATGAATTACAAGGGCTCCTATGAACAAAAAACCTTTTGTACACCAACACTGTCGCAAACTGACAATGACAAACACAAAATGGCAATTCTGTCATTTACCCCATTTTTTAATAATAAAAATTCCATTATTTTCCCATTTTTGTTGTTTGATGATGAAGGAACAGGTCTATTAATTGTCTAATTTTGATCTTTAGTACGAGACAATAACATTTTTCTTCTTAGATATTATACAACAATATAAATGGAAAAGGAGCTTGATGCCAGAGCGGGCTTTCCCCTATAACTGGAGAAATGGGTGCTCATTAGCAAAGTAGCCTTTAAAAAGAAATCAAGGTATTTCGACAGATATAGTCGCATCTTGCATCATCACTAAAAAAGAGCGGGCTTTCCCCTTTAACCGGAAAAATGGATGCTCTGTAGGGAAGCAACCTTCAAGATAGACATCAATATATCACTACATTATTGAGCATTCATTAGAGAAAAGCTAGCCTAACAAATACAATGTACTCGGATCTTGCAGCTTCTCTTCCACACAGTGAATCTATGAATAAAAATGGCACGCTAAATTCAATTTTCCCAGGACAAGACGGCGGGCGGCGAGTACGGCAGTCCAACCTCAACACTTTATCGTGATCCTCGTTACCACGCACATTCCCGACAGCAACGAGGAGTGAAGAGTTAGAATTGGTGATCTTTCTCATTAATAATTCATGGTCAAAAATGAGTCAAGTCTAGAGTCAAGTCTAGAGAGACGTGAGATCGAGCAATTTGGGGTCATAACATATTCAGTAGAGTTTTACGGCAGGGGTCTATACCGTTCCTTAATTTGGCTCAATACTTGTTGGCATTGCTGCATTTTTTCAACCAATATTAAAGCCCCACTGCACTACTAATAGCTACTTGCGCTCTCTATATAGCAAACAATGCCTAATCGGGACCCGTTGGTCCCCCATGATCCCCTTTTTCTTCTGTTAATTGAGAGCTGATTTTGATGAGATAACCACCCATCAGTGACCTTGCAGGGAGGTCTAATCTCCCCTGGCCAAACTAGTGCACACAGGCTTTAAAGGTAAACGCACAGCTTCAAAGTGAAATATTTACAAAAATCAAAACTTGTAAGTTGTTTATTTCTAAATAGAATACCATTCTTGATACCTTGATCATATATTCATAACAGGTCATTCGAAGAACTCCGGAACATATTAAATACGCAGTTTACAAGTTCACTGTAAAATCTATAAAAATATGTAATTTTTCAATAGTGTGAATAAGCCTGTTTTGCAAAGTGTTCATTGTGTTGTAACTTGTCATCACATTCTCACTGTAGAAGAAAGCAGAAGAAAAGGAATAGGCAAGTATCATAAACCCAATACTTCCAGGTACTGGGAAACACTTTTATCCTAAAATTAATTCATTTCCCATTTCAGGATATGACGCAATAAAGAATAAGTGTGGAGGACGGTATTGAATATGGAAATAGAGATTAATAATTACTTTCCCTTGCATTCTCATCGACATTCAGATAATGATTACATGTTTTCTTCATAGAGTATCCAGGGTATAGAACAGCCAAAGCCATCAGAAAGAGAAAAAAAGAGGAAGAAACAAGTGATATTCTATAAAAAGATTGCATACGTAATGTGATGTAACGTTCGACGTTGAACGAGGTAAGAGCGGGGAGGTTAGACAAGGTATTCTGTATGCAAACGAGACAGAAAGCGCTCCCCTACAGCAGTCATGAAGAACCATGTCTAGACACTGGACTCCAATTTACATATTATTACGTTTCTCATTTCTTATCCCCCCTGTTCCCCCTTCTTTGGGGCTTCTTTCTACTTCTTCTCTCCCTCTTTCCCTCTCTCTCTCTCTCTCTCTCTGGATCAAGGATAATTACTCTGAGTTTTGCCCACAGGTTGTGATGTAGCACAACACCTTAATGTATCTGTCCATCTGTCCATTCGTCTGTCTGTCCGTCTGTCTAATTTGTCTTTTCATTTGGACATGGATCCTTAATGTCTTCATAGTTTACGTCATCATGCACA